TGACTCCAAGATGAAATCCAAGATGCCCCCAGTATTTGATAGGTGGATGAAAGAAATCAGAAGTACAGTACAAACGTAGTGTGTAGTCATTAGAAGTTTAGTACAACTAAAGAAAATCAAATACATGCATGGAAAGACTATTTGTGTGTGTTTGAGTGATTTTTCTTTTCTGGTGTACTTTTATACTAGTTGAAAATTTTGATAATCAGATAATCAAAAAAAAAGAAAGAAAATAATACTTACGCAATCAGCAGGTCATTGGGAACTGCAAGAAGAAAGAAAAGTGAAGGTGTAAACAATTTATCAGCTGTTGCAGGGCTTGTAAGATAACACTTGGCTATTGTGTTGAGGTAAAGATGAACTATGTAGGCATACAGAACGTTTACTTTGTGTTTACACTTATTTAACTTGCCTGCTTCTTCATTAGCCAGTGGAAAACTCTTCCCAGCAATTGAATGTATGGAAGACATTAAACTGCAAAAAACACCTCATTATGCTTTATTATAATCACTGTTTTACAGTTCATTTTATTTGTCACACTATTTTTTATGATGGTGAAAAAAAATCCAGGAGCACTCCACCACCATACTTTTGTATTCTATCACATATTTCTAAACTGGGATAGCTCTGGCACTTGAAGTCCAATAAAAACTTTAGCACACCCTCACTGCTTCCACAGGAATTAAGAAGGTAAGAAGCAGTCAGGTTTTGCTAATCAAATGCATGTAAATAACTGATGATCAGCAAGAGTGAGGACCACATCTCACTCCAACTTTTGGAAGTTTGCTAGTATGGAGCATTAAGGTATGTGTTAACACCCCAGGAGTGGACGACCCAGCAAATTCCCTCCGAAGTCAAAACATACAAAGCTCAAAAAACCGAAAAACTCTAAGAGTTACCGCTCAGACTCTCCTTTGTTAAATGTTGAGCTCATTACAGTTATTGTAGAAATCTGAAACAAAGTAGAGAGAGAAGAAGAATGGGCAAGAATTTCAGTCTCTAGATGTGCAAAGCTGGTAGAGACATACCCTAAAAGACTGGCAGCTGTTAATTGCAGCAAAAGGTGGTTCTACAAAGTTTTGACTAAGGGGGCTGAATAATTACGCACACCCCACTTTTCAGTTATTTATTTGTAAAAAATGTTTGGAATCATGTATGATTTTTGTTCCACTTCTCACGTGTACACCACTTTGTATTGGTCTTTCACGTGGAATTTCAATAAAATTGATTCATGTTTGTGGCTGTAATGTGACAAAATGTGGAAAAGTTCAAGAGGGCCAAATACTTTTGCATGCCACTGTATGTTACCTGACAGAAGCTGACAGTTTCCATTCATAAAAGCCGACCAGGCCTGTAAATGTGAGTTTTGGGCTCAACTACTTTCTTTCTGAGAACTTCAGAGGTTGAAATTAATCCAACACCCAAACAACACATTAGATCACAGCTCGATAAACTTACTGACAACAGACAGCAAAACTATATGTTTAAAGTTCAATTTTCCCCAAATCATAATTACACAAATGTGCACATAGGCTGTATACTATCACATGTGTGTGGTACTGCAGCAGAGTAGCAGCACGTTGCTCTTGTGCCTTCCCTCCAGCCTCAGTCCACCTTGCTATGCTTCTCATCAGCAGTGTTGTTGCTGTTAAGGGGACAACACTGCTCTGTGCCCTCTAAAAGCACTTTAAGCTGATGTCCAGGTCGTGTAATCTTGCTCATTTTCTTCCTCTGGCAGGAGTTTGATACTTGTTTGTGGTCAGGGGACATGGCTAATAGGCTGTAGCTTGGATAGATTAACACATGTGAGGCTGCCATGTGGAGCTCTTTATCTATTTTCTTCTTTCTCCTTCAGCTGTCATTATCATCCCAATCATAATGTGTATACATGACTCACAATGGAAAATAAGAGAATTTAACAAAAAAAAAAAAAAAATCCCCAGTTATGAGTCATGATTTCTTTCATCTGAGCTTCTGATTAAGGTAAAAAAGACTAGTAGGGACTGTCCATTGGCACATTTGAGGGGCAGCTGAAGGGTGTTGTAGCAAGTTGCTACCCGTTGTGGCGAAAACTGTGACGTGGAGGTGGTTGTGCTTTCTGATGAGCCTGCTTGTTGATATGAAACCTTCAGATGTGGGCTGTGGTCAGTAATGAATCACTGGAACAGTCTGCTGGTGCCACGCGTGGTGGCAGTGTAGGTAGAAGTTGAGTTGGTGGAGCCACTGAAAGGGCACAGTCGAGGTCATGGTCCACTCTAGTCCTCTTCATCTGTCAACTATCTGAGGGTGGAAATGCATTTTTCCAGGATGATCCGTCACTGTTCATTTTGGACCTCAGATCCAATGAGCCATGGACTCACACTTCTGAAATTTGAAATAAACTGTGGTGCATACAACCAGGTGTCTCTGAGTTTTATTTACTTTTGCAAAAGGCATCAAACAACAATACAGACAGCCCGACAGAGGTGAGGATGGTTTTGACAAAGA